GATCTAAAATGTAGCAATTTTAATTTAAATCACTTGAATTTTTATTCTTTCCTGCTGTTTTAATTACCGATCAATTTTTATCAAAGTTCTCCAAAATTATCTATCATCTCATAGGAACTAATTACCCAATATTACTGAAGAATACGTAGAGTGGTGATACAAATAGTTCTATATAATCGTCATAGGCAATCTAAATGTTTGAAAAATGATAATTGCAATCATGTAAGAGTACAACATAATCTACATTCTATACGGCTGTATTTCCAAAAAAAATTCGATTTTCAATTTTTTACTCACCCTTTGCTCCCCTCCTAGGGAAACAAGGGTTCCTCGAAATTTCTAATATCTGATACCCACACTTTGAAACCTTCCTCGTTTCGAACCAGTGTAATTAACAGGAATCATCCATAGATCCCAGGGGTGTGCAGAAACCTGAAAATATAGGGTCAGATGGGGTTGCAGAAAATTTTGAGGACTTGGAGAATAATAGAACATAGAGGAACTAGCTTGCTTACAATAGAATACAAAATAAAACAATATGTATCACACAATTGGTTTCCATTTTCGTTCCATATTCCGCGAATCGGATTTTTCTCGAAAGTCCCGATATTTTCGGACAACTTCGGGTTCTCTGCTACCTTCAGCGAATCACCTTTCCCCGAAACGCATCGGTCATGGTATCTCGAGCACCGTGGAGAACTCAGACAACGTTTAACGCGTGTGATTTGTCGCACCGGCGGTGGTAGGCCAGATGAAAACATTTCTTGTGATCCGTAAACGGTGCGCGGCGTGCCAGCGCCGAGAGCCACCCCTATTCGGGGGTTGCAGTGGGTGGCGGAACTACAGGGTGGCCAAGAGCCACAGTTGGTTGCGGGCTGTCGTCCTGAGCACATTACGCGTCTTCGACCTCCGCCACGCGACCTCGTGCATCATCTCTCGGTGCGATTGCGTGAACGACGAGTCGCCCGCCCTCGACGAACCATTTGTCCACCCTCTTGTGCTTCCGTCTCCACTCGGTGCGGCCAACACGTGTGCGAAAACCGGAACCTCACGATCCTTGTAAATCCACCAAATTCGTGAATGGTGAAGACAGACTCTTCGGTGATCCTGGCTCTTCCATTGTTGCATCGAAACACACTTGGATGACGGCTACTATGCATAGGAAGAGGATCGTCTTGTTCGTCAATGGTTGAAGAGAGTCTTAAAGTACGAATATAAGAATCCCAAGACCGAGTTCACACTAGTTACGAGAGACCAGACATGGACGAGCTGTGCTTATGACCAAGACCTCTGCGCGATTCCTCTAAATTCTCAAGAATTTTTCCCTCCAAATTATCCAGCTTCTTTTCGCGAGCCATGCTAATTGGAATTTCTAATGACCGCTGAGGCACGCGGAAGAGGTCGAAGAGGGAATCCTAGGACCTCTGGCTCCATCTCTGCTAGACTTGGCACCTTCGAACACTGAACGACCGGGGAAAATTCCAAGTTTCGACTTCTGCGTGTTTAAATCGATCCCGGGGAACGTCGCTGAACACAGTCGTAGAGCCCAAAAGAAGAGACCGAGGGTGCGTTAATAAAAAGGTGGAAAAAGCTGACGAAACGGAGAGAAGAAAGGGGACGAAATTGAATCGCGGTCGATCTCCGCATTTAGACGGTTGTGAAAGCGGGCTGCAACGGAATAGCTGGATCTTAAATGTCAAAGGAGACGCGTTCCCGCGGGAACTTTCAATTAAAATTTTATCTGGCCCGGATAACTGTGGCAGGCGGATTCGAGGCTTCATGAAACCTAATCCCGTCGTTAAACACGCGGGCCGTGACGCGAGGATAATTGAGATAAGTCCGTGGAAATCGCGCTCGTTGCTTTATTAAACCACGTCGATTATCCGAATCGATTCCCGAACGGGGAAAAAGGGAAGGAAAACGGAGAAGCTCGGAGAAGAAGTCATCTAGTTGGAACAAGGGAAGCGCGGTGAATCGGAAATCTTACAAAGTCCGATGAAATTCCTCTCGCGTGGATGTATTGGAAAGCGTGTGGAATCTTGGAAATATAGAGGGGTGCTGTGTGCATACACGCACAGCCAGAAACAATCTCGCGTCACAAGTCGGGAATCGAATGGGTAGAAGAAGAAAATAGGAGAAGCGATCCGTGAGTTGGCTTTCCGTGAGTTCGATCGCAAGATTCTGGGCACGATAGGGTGGTGGAAGAGGTGGAAGAATACGCCGGATGTCGGAATGAAGCTGGGATCGCGTCTAAAAAATTTACGACACGCTTGAAAATCCGGCGAAGGCGAGATCGCGAAAGGTCAGAGGAGTCGTTGGATCAACTTGGACACCTTAACGACGGTTCGATTCGCTATTGATTCGCCCGGTAATCGTCTTCTCGTTTCGTTAGTTCACTGGTAGAACGTGGCGAATCTCAGAATCGACGAAGATTGCGTGACTGGTTGGAGAAGAAGAAATTTCTTGGGCCTTCTCCGTCCTCTGTGAACCGAAGAAGGTTGATCCGAAAAGTTGATTGCGACGGAATAAGAAAAATCTGGAACAATAGGTGCGCAAAGGTTAGAAGCTAAGGATAAGAACGGAACGTTCGGAGACATCCGTGAGCCAGCGTGATCGTCGGAATAACGCGATATCGAGGAAAATCCCGGAGCTGTTGGGGGATACGCGAAACGGTACTTCCCCTTCCTTTTATCTCGACACGGTAAATACGACTGACAGAAGAGCCTGTGAGAGTTGGGCCGTGGTCGTTGGGAAGATAAGCCAGCGGAAATCGTCGGGAAACCCTCGGGAGCAGTCTCTTGCACCGGCTGGAAGATCGAATGCTGGCTGTCCAATGTCGCGTTGTGTCGCGGCGATCGACAAGAGGATCCGGGACTCGCCGAGAATGCCAATCTCGTCGACGAGGCTACTGTGGAAAAGCAAGAGATGTAATCCCTTTAAAAGAGTCTCGAGGTGAGCCTCGACGTTGAGGACTTGGTGGAGAGGAAAAGTTGACAGGAGACGCAGTTGGCACGTGTCTCTTCTCGAGGCTTCTCCATTGTAACAAGGATCCTGCAGATACGGGAAGTCATTGTCTTCGTTGCCGAAATGATTCGTTAAACGAAAGATCGATCGAGTATGTTGGAAACGAAGCACGACCTGGGACTGTCTAGTCTGTTGTCAAATTTCTTTGCAAGATTCAATGATCATCGTTTCTACCTGACCTAGAAGTTTATTTTGCTAACGGTGAGTTCCAGTGGATCCTAGAGTTCTCGAATTTTCGTTGTCACGAAGAAACATGTACCTCGAAATATTCATCTGGCGAATTCCGGAAGAGCGAGTCGGTCGATGAAGGAAAGCGTATCACAAGAGTTAATCGCCTCTGCGGGATCGAATCGAAGCTGGAACGTCATATATCGCGGTGGAACAGCCTTGCGAGACAAAAGAAGTCGGATAACGAGTGAAACTGCTGGCTGCCTCCGAAGGAGAAAGGAGCGAAAAACAAACAGATAACGAAAAATTGTCTCGTTGGCAGCGGGAAAGAACAACGGGGACCGGATAAGAAAGTGTTCCGAAGAGAGCTTTGGAGACGGTTGCCGAGCAGAAGAAAAGTGTTGTCAGTTTCCGCTTAGAATCGAGACGTACGATCTCCGTGAATTATGGTCGTTCGCGATTGATCTGAATTACCATGAGAAACTATCTTCGGCGGAGACTAATCCTCTCGTTTTTCTGCCAATAGACCGCTGATTGCTTAGACCCGATCCAAATTGCGTGGAGAAGCCGCTCTAACTGCAGATCGATCATATCTCGTTTAAGGATTAAAGTGGTTAAGGAACTGGAATTTCGAAATCCATCATCGTTCACGGTTGGCCTAAGCTGTAGAAAGAGTGGAGCTTATTTTTGGATCAATTATTCTTTTCCGTTCTTGAGCGTTTTCAACGGAACACGAAGATCGCGAGTCTGATCTGAGAGCTTGCAGTTGGAGAGCGAGTTGGATTTGAAATTAATTATCCATTTCTCTGATTCCTCGTAGATTGTAATTGTATTCGTCTCGTAGAACATCGTACGAAGGCTTTAGAGGATGGTCCCCAGTGTTTGTCAGTGAGTTTGAATTTTGCAATCGAATCCAACGTCTACGATCATCGAATCTTCGTTTCCCTGCAATACACCCGCGAAGGATGGAAATACTCACGCCTGACAGTGCGCGAATTTCCAGTTTCACCGGTTTCATATTAATCCTATGAAGTTGTTCAAATTTCTAATACAGTTTTAATCTCAAGCCACCCCTTTAGCTGTTAAAAATCAAATCATCGAAGTGTACCGAAGACAAAATAGTATCCTTATAGCACGTTCTTCTTCCATGAATGAAGTGTCTTACGAAATTGTGGTTGAAAAGCAATACATCCCCTATTATGACCCTCAAATCGCAGTTAAACGTCAAATTATCAAGTACTCCGAAAAAAGTAAATCACCTAATGCATCGAGTATTTTATCAGGTGGTGTCCCAGACAAACTTACAAGTCGCTTCCTTGCCTCCTTGCATTGCTATTGGACAATACCAAACGTAATTCTAATAATCTCGCTATCGGAATAGTGTCTAAACACCGTAACCCAAGTGTTTCATTACGTACCCAAGAAAGGTTGCACCCCAAACGTCGTACAACCTTCCCAGAGTGTCTGTAACATCCAAATAGTGTCTAATCATCGCAACAAAATAGTGTCTCGAATGGTGATCAAGAAAGGTCTGTCTCGATCTTAGCCTTACGTCCGATCCCTTCCGTATCCCTCTAAATCGTCATCGAACGCGTTAAGACGTCATCGAAGTGTACGAAAGAATGTCTCCAATACCGAAATAGTGTCTAAACTTTAGAAATCACGTGCTTAATCGAGTCGTGGGCGAAAAAGAAAGGCCGCGAGTCGTGCAGTGATCGCAGAGCAGAGACGACCATGGACAAAAGGGAGCCTCCTCTGTCGTCTGTGGGTCAGGTGAACGGAAGTTCCAGATTGAAGAGAGCCTCGGGATGCTACACGCTGTTATGCTAGGTAGCGGTCCGGGTCGAGGGAGACACGAATGGTATCCGGGATTTTATCTGCAACGTCGACGACTTGGATGCAGGATGAACCGCGGGGAACAAGAGACCCTATTCAGGCAGAGCAGGCAGCTCACGAGGATCGTGCCGTCTCACGAAGATCTGGTGCTGAGCGTGCTTAAATCGCCGATCAGCCAGCACCAGCAACAGCAACGCCAGCAGTATCGTCCTACGCACCATTCTCACGAGCACCATGTTAACTGCCAAGGTCACCAGAATCATAAGAAGTGCATGCATTCAGGTATACTCGGAGTAACTGGCAAGCAGTCGTCTTGTATGGCGTGACGATAGGTGGATCTTGGGCTGCTCTGTGGGACCACGGGGTTAGAATCATAAGAAGTGCATGCATTCAGGTATACTCGGAGTAACTGGCAAGCAGTCGTCTTGTATAGGTGGCGTCTTGTATATTGACGATAGGTGGATCTTGGGCTGCTCTGTGGGACCACGGGGACGTAGGTTTTCGATGGTTCTTTTTAATTTTTATCGTCTTCTTCATTTTCTTATATTCATTTTATTTTTTCTTTTAATTAACGTGTTTATATAGTATCGTTTACTCGGAGTTATCTCTTGAATCATTCGAGGAACTTGGTGAAATATTTCCTCTAGTCTACAGCACTAACCTGTTGCGATAAATGTGAAATAATTTCGTTCTAAATTCAGCTTTAAATTTGGCTTAAAATATTCTGCGGATATTCGGAAAATTGTGTTGCATTTAGATAAATTGGATTGGACCGTGTATATTTAAATACTGCGAAATTCGGGTTTAGTTTTTCTAATTGTTCTAACACGTGACACGTGGTAGAACTTTTACCGCTATTAACGATATCGCTAGAGTAACTCACGTTCGAACAGTTGGAAAATAAAATCTCTCTGTCTCGTTAGTTTGAAGCAGGCAGCGTGGCACAATCAAACTTGTACACATGAATTCTGGCTAACTTTTCTCAAATAGAATACGTCAGCAGAGTTTGACCGACTTTGAGACCGTTCCCTATAGAAAACTTGCCCCAACTATTTTTCCCAAATATTCATTAGATACTACCTTTAATTTCACGCGCATGTCACAAAGGCTACCCACACAAGACACTTCGCCAAATTAGCAAACCTCTTAACTGTTACGTGCTTCGATGCTAGAAGGACAAGGTACACGTCACGAAGAACAAATGATTTGTCATTTAAAGTAGGTGAAGTTCCAACGCATTTTAAAATAATAATACTTGATTATTTAATAAATATATTCTTAATTCCAAATATCGTTTCGTTTACGAATCCATGGAATTTTCAATTTAGCGAATAAGATCTGTCGTTTTCAGATTTCAAAATTTGAATAAAATCGCAATAAGTAGAATTCATGTCCAGAAGTTTAAACAATAACATCTTGAAAATGAAACAGAGTGACATGCGGCGTTTACAACACAGTTATTAATGGATCTATAAGCAATAAAAATATCAATTTTCCCTGAAAAGTAACTAAAAATATCTGTGTTATTTCGTTATAATTTCTCTCAATTTCAATTTTATAACATAGTGTATTTACTCTGTTTTCATCGAGTATACTCGTCGTCGCATTCAAATGATGAAGTATAAAAAAAAGATGTGTAAATTTTCAAAATGAAGTGAAACACTCAATGGCCTAGGTAAACCAAAACGTGTCGGGTCTTCGTACTCGACGCAGGACCATTTATCAGCTGAAGACGAGTGTCATGATCCACCCTAGTTTTCCATCACGGATCTCGTCCTTTCTTATTGCAAATTATCCGTTTAACTTCTTCGTCCGCGATAACGATCGGAAAGCCTCTTTGCCTGTGGTCGCGGTTGAAAGAGGGTTCCATCGGACCGGGTCCACGAATCGACGAATTATTCGAATCGAAATATCAAAGTGTATGCACGTTTGAGAGTGTCCCATAAGCCGGTGCGATGGCTTTTAGGCGACTCCCGTTTCACAGCTCGCTGGAAACTAGGCAACGAGCCGGTGATTTCTAGCTCCTTGCCTCGTATTATACCGAGCAGCTCGGATAGGAAGTCGTGGAGAGTAATCTTCTTTTAAAAAGGAACTGATTTCGCGAACTCGCGATATGGGGCAACTTGCTTTGTTTTCGTTCAGACGAAACCCAAGATTTCGTTTGTTCTTTCGTTTCTGGGGTTTATTCGTATTCTTGTTTGCTTCCTCTTTATATATTTTTATTTTTTGCATCGAGGAACGAGGGCAATTTTGGTATATCTTTATCACCGGTCCGTTTCCTTTTTATTTCTTTATCTCTTTGGTTTAGTTTGAGGAAAATAAAAAGGAGAATTTTTCCATGTCTTTTTACAATCGTTCCTTGGAAATTATTTTTCTTTTTCTTTTTATAGGTATATATATGTAAACAATTTTTGGAGGTTTAAAAGAGATGAAATTTGGTGTATTCTTTCCAGATCGTTGATTGAAAATTATTTTGTTCCTTTTTCTTTCTGTATGTATTCAATTTTTGTTCCTCTATTTTGGTTCGGAACAGGAGAAGAATTTCTGCGAGAGATTTTATGTATATACATTTTTAAAAAATTATTTTCGGTTTAAAGGAGTGGAGATTTTGTGTCTTCTTTTTTAAATAGTTAGTTAGAGATTATTCAAGTAGTAAAGTGTTTTCCGGTTATGAGTGGTGCGATGGATACCGTGTTTTGGGTTTAATGTATTTTGTGATTAACATGGGTTTGGCATTAATGGAGAAGAAAGGTTATCAATCTGATTAAATGGGAACGATGCTTTCGTGGATTATAAAATCTTTAAATAAGTTGTATTATCGGGTAGGGCGGAATTTCGGAGCTAATTTATTCGACACAATGACAAAATTTTCCTCGCATTTAATTTTCAGGGAATGTATTTCAATCGTTCCCAAGCAACTTGACGGATTTCTCGCTTTTATTACTGTTTCCTATAGAGGAACTCAATTATGGTTCAGTTTCTCTGAACGAGATGAAATATTTTAAAGTATCGTGATTCACGTCGGTGTTATTATCTCTGAGAAGAAAAAAATAACTTAAATGGAGACCGAAAGAAGTTATTAACCCAGATTTGATTTTTCTGTTCATTTTTCTACCAACGTTGCCATTATCTTCCTAATTCTATCGTAAAATAAGACATTTAATTCGTAAAAGTGCAAATTGCAAATTTCACAAATTGAATTGTTTCCTATAGTATAATTGCAAAAGTTAGGAAACGGATAATAAACAATCATTTGAGAATTTTTATATATTCTTTATCCCCTGAAATAATTTTAATTTCAATGTACTTTAAAAGACGAAGAAGATTAAAAAATTGATAAACAATTACTATTTATATTTAACATTACAAAAATTTGTTTAAATATTCAAATTTATTTTCTTAACCAACCAACATTATCAAAATCAGGGAAACTTTCTCGCAATCCATTTTACTTGGAAGAATAACAGCAACAATGAATCAAAATGGCAATTTCACTTGCTCCACCCCTTATCCATTCAATCAGAAGTCATCCATTTTCGTCTGGCTGCGTCGCAGCTGACTATAATTTCCTAAATCTTTCACGATCAGCGAAAGATCCCGAGCAATTTCGGTCGCGAACAGGGGATAACGTATAAGCCACTCTCCTCGTGGCAGGAATATCCTATTCTTAGGTTGAAAATAAACAACAACAAGGGGATGTTCCCCTTGCTGGAGAAGCTGGAGGTCGCTTGTTCTCTCGATCGGTGAATGAAACACGGTTGATCCTCGATCCTCGACGCGCCGCGATTCGTCATGGGAGATCAGAGAGCTTTCGTCGGAACGCAGACACCCCTATTAATAGGGTGGCAAGGGAGTTATATTTATTTGCAATCGATAAGCTCATAGACGTCTTTTGTTGCCGCGCGATTGAACGATCTCTTTGCACGCTTCACGAAGTTCATCCACGTTCAAAGAGTTTTGCATATAGCTACTTACGTGACGCAGCGTGAAATTTTCCGCACCCCCTGCCGGGTGAACAGATTCTCTCTGCGTGACTTTGGAAGTTTATGAGAGGCCGTGGACGATTTTTGGTATATTCCAGAATATTCCAAATGATGGTATATTATAGCAGGTTGGTCGAAAAGATTTCGGTATTTTTAGTTTAAAATAGTAATCGGTCTTTTGAAACAAATTTATCTCTCTTTGAAATTAAAATAATTTTTTTGAAACAAAATTTTAAAAGTTTCATGAATTTTCGTTGTTATATTCATACATACGAGTTATTGTAGTTAATTTAATTAAGGCGCTGTTTTGTGCTGGAAAAGAAGAGAATATTAACTGTAAAAATTCGACATTTTGCTAATGTTTAAAATGGAATAAAATACTGGTGAATATTGGAAACCGTTCGTATTTCAACTTTTTAATTAAGACGGTGGTAGATGTACAACTGTAATAGACAGGAGGGGTGGTTTATGATGAGATGGACATAGGAGATGATTGCAAAGATGAAGAGATAGAAGGGTTGTTATTCAGATTTATTTCGAATTTACTTGGAATTTTAGAATTACATATATCAATTTAAATATGATATTGAATAGTGTAGGAATAATGTGATATTACTTTCCCCATGTCTAAATCACGAGTTATTTAATATTTTATCGCATTTAGGAAATGTATTGCAGAAAAGCTGGGCAGGAAAACGGAATAAAAAATTAGGTTGATTATAAAGTGTTGAGATAATAATTCATTACCGGTACTCGTTTCTTGTACTTCGAAATTAGCATTAATCAAGGATGAATATACAGTTTGAATATTCGAATACCCAATTTTCCGTTAATTATGAATTCTATTTGCCTTTTAAAATATGTTCTAAAAGATTCAGGTATAAACTTGCAGAATAATACAGACACGAATTAGGAATTTCCTTAAAATGGAAACATTTTATAATTGCAAATCGGTTGTCCGAGGTTCTACGAAACAATACCTAATACCTAGATATTAATTTCTCGTATCCCAATTTTACATCCCTACATTAACCCTCCGCACTCGACGATTTTTTGGTTAGAGAAGAGTGGAAAATCAAAGATTCTCTGCTAAAAAACTGACGATACTTTTTTGAGCAATAAATAAAGAATTATATAGTAATAGAATTGTAGAATTATTTGATTTCGATACCTCGCACACTGTTACATTACGTTAAATTTGATATATTAATTAATATCGATCTTCCAAATTTTATGAAATGGTGACTGAAGCTCACCTCTCGAGTGCAAAGGGTTAATACCATTTTATAATTGCAAATC